CAACTTACGTGACTGCTTCTTGCTCCTCGTGGCACGACTGAGGGCTGCTGGGAGCAGGGGGTGGGGCTTGTTGCATGTGCCCGCCCCCCTGGGCTCCTTACTGCCGGACCTCCGCTCCTGTGCGCTCTCGCAGGAAATGACCCCTGCATACAGATATACTTCGACACTCACGTTAGTGATTCTTCTCATAAGGCAGGGCCATGTTTCTTGAATACCTTAGCAAGGACATCCCCCTGAGCCTTTTTCTCGCTCATGGTGTTCTGTTGAATGTAACACCATAATCTTTCGGAGCCCTGTATGTGCTGCTTCGTCCGTGGCGGATTGTTCTTTGGTGTGCTTTTCGGGCAGCTGTGCCCACCTTTTGTGTCTTGCAGCTTTTGCCGCACTGGCTTTTGTTTTAAAAAACAGTAGATCGTAAAGTCACATGAAGCTGCCTTCTGTTGAATCGGACTGGCAGCGGCTCTCCTGGGTCTCGGGCAGAGAAAGGTCTTTCCTATCACTTCACACCTGCTCCTTTTGACTGGAGATGCCGGAGATTGAACCCGGGACCTTCGGCGTGCCAAGCAGAGGCTCTACCACTGAGCCACAGACCCTAAACGAACAGACTTGGTTCCATTAAGGTCAGTCTTGTGTACTCAGACTGGCACCAGTTTTCCAGGGTCTCAGGCAGAGAACGGTCTTTCACATCACCTCCCACTGGTTCCTTTTAACTGGAGATGCCGGGGATTGAACCTGGGACCTTCCGCATGCCAAGCAGACGCTCTACCACTGAGCCACGACTGCTTGAAGCAGGGAAGGACAAGGCACCAATATAAATGAATCAATGAACAGGTGAATGTATTCTAGCCCTCCTGCCTTTAGCTCCACAATGCTCTTTGCCCCAATACAAAACTCCCCTCTCCTCATGGCCCCTGGGAGGGGCTGTGGCTCAGTGGTAGAGCGTCTGCTTGGCATGCAGAAGGTCCCAGGTTCAATCCCCGGGATCTCCAGTTAAAAGGGCCAGGCAGGAAGTGATGGGGAAGCCCTCCGCCTGAGACCCTGGAGAGCCATGAAGTGGGGCTGTGGCTCAGTGGCAGAGGCTCTGCCTGGCATGCAGAAGGTCCCAGGTTCAATCCCCGGGATCTCCAGTTAAAAGGGCCAGGCAGGAAGTGATGGGGAAGCCCTCCGCCTGAGACCCTGGAGAGCCATGAAGTGGGGCTGTGGCTCAGTGGCAGAGGCTCTGCCTGGCATGCAGAAGGTCCCAGGTTCAATCCCCGGGATCTCCAGTTAAAAGGGCCAGGCAGGAAGTGATGGGGAAGCCCTCCGCCTGAGACCCTGGAGAGCCATGAAGTGGGGCTGTGGCTCAGTGGCAGAGGCTCTGCCTGGCATGCAGAAGGTCCCAGGTTCAATCCCCGGGATCTCCAGTTAAAAGGGCCAGGCAGGAAGTGATGGGGAAGCCCTCCGCCTGAGACCCTGGAGAGCCATGAAGTGGGGCTGTGGCTCAGTGGCAGAGGCTCTGCCTGGCATGCAGAAGGTCCCAGGTTCAATCCCCGGGATCTCCAGTTAAAAGGGCCAGGCAGGAAGTGATGGGGAAGCCCTCCGCCTGAGACCCTGGAGAGCCATGAAGTGGGGCTGTGGCTCAGTGGCAGAGGCTCTGCCTGGCATGCAGAAGGTCCCAGGTTCAATCCCCGGGATCTCCAGTTAAAAGGGCCAGGCAGGAAGTGATGGGGAAGCCCTCCGCCTGAGACCCTGGAGAGCCATGAAGTGGGGCTGTGGCTCAGTGGCAGAGGCTCTGCCTGGCATGCAGAAGGTCCCAGGTTCAATCCCCGGGATCTCCAGTTAAAAGGGCCAGGCAGGAAGTGATGGGGAAGCCCTCCGCCTGAGACCCTGGAGAGCCATGAAGTGGGGCTGTGGCTCAGTGGCAGAGGCTCTGCCTGGCATGCAGAAGGTCCCAGGTTCAATCCCCGGGATCTCCAGTTAAAAGGGCCAGGCAGGAAGTGATGGGGAAGCCCTCCGCCTGAGACCCTGGAGAGCCATGAAGTGGGGCTGTGGCTCAGTGGCAGAGGCTCTGCCTGGCATGCAGAAGGTCCCAGGTTCAATCCCCGGGATCTCCAGTTAAAAGGGCCAGGCAGGAAGTGATGGGGAAGCCCTCCGCCTGAGACCCTGGAGAGCTGCAAAGAGGCCCCTGGGTTTTGGCTGCTATGTGACACAGAGTGTTGGACTGGATGGGCCATTGGGGGCGAGCAAGCGTGGGGTGGCTCCCTGGGATATTACTTGGCCCTTCCTTCTTGGGGAGGAGGGGATGCCAACCTCCTGGTCTCTGTTCATTAGCCGCCACCCCCCCCTTGCAGCTGGTAGAGGCATCGCAGAATCCTGAGGTGGGCTCCCCCTTTCCAGCATATCTTTCCGTTTTGCACTTTCGTAGAGACCTCTGGCTCTGTCCCCGAGCACGTCAGAGGCAGCCGGTGGGGTTTCCCAACACACACACACACTTCAGGGTGGCCAAGAGGGAGGTTCTGGCTGTGAGCCAGTCTGGTCTCGTGGTTAGGAGCGCAGACTCTAATCTGGGAGAACCAGGTTTGATTCCCCACTCCTCCACGTGCAGCTGCTGGTGTGACCTTGGGTCAGTCACAAGCTCTCTCAGAGCAGTTCTCTCAAGGGCAGTCCTCGAGAGAGCTCTCTCAGCCCCACCGACCTCCCAGGGTGTCTGTTGTGGGGAGGGGAAGGAGTTTGTAAGCCGCTCTGTGACACCTTCGGGTGGTGAAGGGCGGGGTATAAGTCCAATCCTTTCTTCTTCATCATCATCTTTTGAGAAGCTGGATCCTATTGGTGGGGCTGTGGCCGGCAGGGGTGAATCCGAGCTGGAAAGGCAACACCCCAGTCTTGGGAGAGGGGCGTGCCTGTGTCTCATTCTGGCCATCTTTCTCTCGCCGTCTCCCCGGGCAGGATCGCCGAGGTGGCCGGTTACACGCCCAAAGATCTGCTGGGCTGCTCCATCTATGAGTACATCCACGCCCTGGACTCTGATTCCGTCAGCAAGAGCATCAACACCCGTAAGTCACGCCCGGCCCTGTCCCTTCCTCCCCTGGGTGTTCCTTTTTAAGGATGGTGACAGTCCAATCTGTAGAAAACTTTTAAAGACCCCCCTCCCTCCAGCAACAGAAAAA